AGAGAGAGAGAGAGAGAGAGAGAGAGAGAGAGAGAGAGAGAGAGAGAAAAAGAAAGATTCATTTTATATGTTCTGTTACTCTAGAGAACTCTGACTAATACAGGAGGGAATGAGGAAATAAAGGAAAGGGGGAAACAGGAAGAGAGGGAGGGGGAAGGAAGAGAGGAGTAAGGGAAAGTTCAGTAGAGAAGGGAGCAAGTGAGAGAGGAAGAGAGAGAGGGGAGGGAGAGGGAGGAAAGGAGAGAAGGAAGGAGGGAGAGAAAAAAGGGAGGTGGAAAGGGGGGAGAGAGGAAAAGAATGAGAAAGGGGAGAGGGGAATCATGAGGCTTTCTTCCGTGTCACAGCATGTATGGCAGGAAGTGTTTGGAGACAGTAAACAAACAGATCTCTCGTCACCAGGGCTCCCTACCTTCCGAGTTCAAGACACTGGAGAGAGCCAGAGCTGGGAACTCAGCAGTCAGCCTCTTTGGCTGGATGTTTTTAACTCAGCAGACCCCAGGCTGAGAGCAGAGAGCTGCTGGTCTGTAAATGATCACACTGCAGACAGAAGTCTTTGTTGACTTAGTCTGAGCTGAGGAGAGAAGAGTGGAGTCTGAACCTTGAGGAGGTGGTGGAAAGCCAGAGTCTGAGGAAACCCCAAGCATAGCAGTGCACACCACTTTTCTGGACACGGTCCACAATGCTGAAGTTCCTGATGAAGGAGGAAAGACAGGAAAGACGACACACAGCTAGGGAGCTGTATTATTAAAATAATCTTTAAGATTTACTCTTATCTTATGTGCACTGGGGTTTTGCCTGTATGTATGCCTATGTACCACACAAGTGTAAAGACCACAGAAGCCAGAAGAGAGCATCAGATCCCCTTGGAATTGGAGTTACAGAGGGTTGTGAGCTGCTATGTAGGTGTGAAAAATTGAACCCAGGTCCTCTGGAAGAACAACCGATGTTCTTACCCACCGAGCATCTCTCTAGACCAGGGGGTATTCTTGCTTCAGGGGATTGCTGCAACCTCAAAACTCCCCTTGTTCTGGGAAGGTAAAGTGAGGGCAGACAACATTCCTAACTGCCCTCCACCCCCTCCACACTCGGGAGCAGGAGATTGCTAGAAAGCATATGGAACCTGTGCTAGGTAGTGGGACCTAAAGTCTGGATGTAAGTATGGAGGCCATCATAACCTGAGGCCACGACTGACCCGTGCCGGGGTACTTCTACAGCTCAGAGGTAAAAAAGAAAAGGCAGACAGGTACCCCCAAAAGATTTAACATTGGAATATTCCATGTTTTACATCAGAAGTGACTAAATTATTTGTAGTTTGTAATATAAAATTTCATTCACTTCCTACCCCTTTAACACACACAATGAACTCTAGTCTCGTAAGCAAGCACAGGACCATGAGCAAGCTGACTTGTTTCTCGTTCTGGGTTGTGACTATAGATGTTGATTTCATCATACATACAGAAAATAAACTAAATGATAAGTGAAGAATCCTCTTACACATGACATGAGTTTGTATGAACAGTACCACAAGCAAAACCGGCTTCAGGTCCATGTCCTGTTTGCCCTGTCAGATGTCTCCCTTCCTCCAAGGGGGCTCGAGATACCCCTATGACAGGATGCCAGGCACCATTGGCTTCCCTGTTATGAATCAATCTCTCCTGACTTAGGAAACCTCTGTAAAGGAATATAGTCTTCGTTCCTCGGGCTTTGGAAAGCAATCTGCTGCCCTGATTAAATGATTAAATGATTTAACAGCACAGCACAATCAGGTAGCCGGACCTCCAGATAAGGGACATGCACTGCTATCTTAATAAAAATTAATACGTGTATGTGTGGGTTTGTATGCACTCGTGTGTGTGTGTGTGTGTGTGTGTGTGTGTGTGTGTGTGTGTGCCCACACCCACCACATACGGAGGTCTGGAGGTCAGAGGACAACTTGTGGGAGTTGGTTCTCTCCTTCCACCATGTGGGCTTTGGGGATTGAATTTAAGTCGTCAGGCTTGGTGACAGGGGCCTTTACCTGTTGAGCCATCTCCTAGGCACATATGCTCCAACCACTACACCACACAGGATGCTCATGTTTTTATTTTTTTCAACTTTAGTGGGAAACACACACACACATACACACACACATAGTTTAAACTATATATACATATTATATATATATATATATATATATATAGTTTACAAAGATGTCTGGTTATGATGAATGATACAGAAATTCCACTTTTAGAAGAAACACACAGTTCCTGTTCTGTGAAAAATTCAGTTCTAAGTCATCTATGGGATATCCTGGGTAGGACATAGGAGAGGTGAGGCCAGAGAGGAAATTCATGAAGGTGATAACACGAACTACCGTGGTCTGGGGTGGATTCTTTAAAAGAGTACTTCCAGAGGTGGAGTCAAAAGTCTATAGGCAGGCAATGCTGGAAAACACGTGCTCCAAGCCAGCCCTCCCGTGCAATTCACATTGGATGGGGAGCTCTAGCATTTGCCCCAGTGTAGGCTGGGTAAGCTCAGAAGGCGTGCTCTGTTCTGAATTTGCCCGCTGAGGATGCAGAGATATGAGAGAAACCCGTCTAGGTCCAAACAGTGGGAAACACACTGAAATGAAAAGTGGAACGTTCTAAGGAAGACAGGAAAGCAGCTGACAAATTTAACTCTCAGCAGAGAAGTCCTGTGGCTGCAGCGAGTGTTCCGGGCAGAGGTCATGGGATCCTCTGGATGCCTCTCCTGCTCCATTTCTCACACAGGGAAAGGAAAACAGAGCTGACGCAAAAGCAGAGGGACTTCCGGCCTCAGAGTCCATGAGCAGCTGCTTCCATGGCAATTTTGGATCATGTGACTCAGTTTCCCTGGGATAGTAATTTTCTACTACTCATTTCCCACCCCTGCTATGAAAGTTGGATTTGCAGAACATCCTCAGCATAATAAAAGAGATTATATCTGATGTTAAGTCATGGTTCATAGCACGTGGTTCTTAAAACTACATCGAGACATAATGGGGAGGGGACACATATCCTTAGGCAAGTGTTTAAATATGCTACGGGAATCTAAACACACAGTCAGGGAAAAAAGAAAGCGAGAGGAAAGCCTGTCCTCATGCACTCAAATGCTCTTGCCCCTGCTATTCCTTAAACACTAAGGACCATTCCTGAGATGCTAAAGACAACCACAGCTGAGTTACCAAAAGTTACGGACAAGTCAATTTGCTTTCATAAATAATAAACAAAAGGCTTTAGTGGTGTCTTCTGAGAGTATCCACTTGGCATGCGTGACTGTGGCATATAACATTCCTACATGAACAGAGGGGTGTTTGCAATGAGGCTGCAGCGCAGGAGATGGGTGGTAACACAGTGTACTACTGGCCTGGGCCACTTACTGGGCATTTTCACCTTACAGTTCCATCCTCACCGCAGCATGATAAAATCTGTCACGATTGGTCTTGCTTTAAAGATGAGAAAATAAGATGTACAGAGGCTTAAAAAAGAAATAAAAATGTGCACATGTTGCTGAGTGTTGCTGGCAACATGTTGTGAGGGGCTTATAAACCCAAGCCCTGCAGAGAACTGCATCCGGTCCCGCCCCCAGTCATCCTCAGGTCCCGCCCCCAGTCATCCCCAGGGAACAGACACCAGTCTCATGTCAGCTGTACAAATAAGGAACTTGAGGTGTTTCACAACCTCTTTTTCACTGTTGTCCCCTCTTGAAGGAACCCTTTCTAAATCAGCCCTGAGAGAACTTTCAAACCACAGGGAAACCCTGTGCTTATCGATAGGCTGCACACATCTGTGCTTCATACACATAGAGATTAAGGGTTGGCCCTGGACCTCCCAAGAACTACATTCTGTCCCACTGAGAACGTGCAGCCGCCACTGGGTACAGCTTTATGAGAACAGTGTACAGAGGAGAAAAACCGTGCATACATTCATTCCTCATTCAGTCATTCCACCCTGCAGCACTGGCCGCATGAAAAGAGATCAGAGAGAGCAGAGAATGAATGGGACTGCATGTGTCCACCTGACTCAAGTTCCGGCTCAGACGGAAAGACTTAGACGTGCAGAACCGGAGTGCTGGCTGCAGCCCGAGGAGAGTCTGATGGGAAGAGGGTGTACAGGTGAAGGGTACCCGCACCTTCCGTTTTAAGTCTAAACTTGGAAAATCTGCATCCTGCCGATTCTATCTCAGTGCAACAGAGAAAACTGTCCCCTGGTGTGTGTCAGTCCCGGGTCTTTAAATTGGTCCCTAAGGATCCTAACAGATACACTGGCAGAACCAAACCCTGCTGCATATACTGTTACCATGCTGTGGTGGGAAGACCACTTTCTAGTCTCCATCCTGGGAGATCCCACACCCCGTTCTAAGGCTCTCACATCACAAAAGAGTGGAGAAAGAAGGAATCCCTCAAAATCCCAGCAGGGGTGAAGAACTTCCTCAGGCAGGCAGGCTTTAAAATCAAGTGCTCTGCAGTTTATAAAGCGGCTCCTGGGAAGAGTTCACCAAAGAGAAGCAAAGCGGAAGTTCTCCAGGAGACTGGGGGCGGGGCTTTCTCCACATTATCGCACTCAGCACCGAATGGCGACTCTAGAGCAACATTGTTAGTTTCTTTTTCACACACTCGCCACTTTCCCAAGATGATAAGAAATGGTCTGTGGTTGGGAGTGTCCTTATACCATTTTGCTGTGTTCACAGGGACCACTGACGCTGCTTACCACCCAGAACCTGGGGCTGTGTGAGTATGAAAGCGCAGTTGTTAAACCCGATGCAGGCAGCAAGGGCTGAAAGGAAAAGGTAAGTCTGTGACCGCTCTGCACGGGACACAATCAGTATGCCTATCCAATAGAATTACAAGATGTGACAAAATTTAGGACACAAGAGGAAACATGCTTTTAAACTGTGCCTTGTAGAACATCCAGGACATGTAAGCCAGCATGGCCTCGATGTAGCCTCCAGAGCCTTTTATCTGCAGCTAGAAAGGGCACCAAGGGAAAGAAACTTGGTGGAGTTTGCTTAGGAATAAACAGAAAATGGGATTAACAAAGTAAATCAGATTTTGACAACTGTCTTCAGGGGTAGAAAATGAAAGAACAAGTCTGGGGAAGCGGCTAAACCAATCTTATAAAGGTTTGATCCCAGCACTGATATTTTGTTTGCTTGTTTTTCAAGGCTTCTCTGTGCAGCCCTGGCTGTCCTGGAACTTGATCTGTATGTAGATCAGACTGGTCTTGAACTCACAGAGATCTGCCTGCCTCTGCCTCCTGAGTGCTGGGATTCAAGGTGTGCACCACCATGCCTGGCTCACCAACACTAATATTTAAAAAGGCAAGTGTGGAGGGGCCCACCTCTACTCACAGTAATGGTGAGCTGGGGGTAGAAACAACTGGGTCTCTGCCAGGTGGCCTAATCTTGGCAAGTTCTAAGCTAATGAAAGACCCTTTGCTTGAGGAATGACATCTAAGGTTAGACTCTGACCCTCACATGAGTGCATGCGCGTTCGCAGGATTGCACACTACACAGGAAAAGACAGAGAGGGGAGGAAGGAGAAAGACAGAGACAGACAGACAGACATACACAGAGATATACACCAGTGTCAGAGACTGAGAGAGGTCAAATGGAACTATGGACTTGTTGGGGGGCGGTCTCTTGAACATCAAATATCCTACCAAATACAGAGAAGACACTGTCATACTCAGTCTTTACAGTGACCAATGGAGGTAGATGCCACTGCCACACACCAGTTACACAGAAACATAAAGGAACAGAGGCGGACTGCGGCTGACACGTAGACGTTTACAAGGCGCAAGGATGAATGCCTCTAAAACCTTCACCCTTATCTGTGTATTACTCTTGCCTCTCTGTGCATCGCTGAAAGATTTTGGTGACGGAGTCTCAGTTAGGGCCAGAGAAAGTCCGCCTCTGGGATAGATGGAGAAACAGTTGCCATGAAAATAGACCTAAAGGACAACTCCAGGGTGGGGCTCTGAGCAAGGGCTGCTGAAGCAGTAGGAAATTTCATGGTAGGTGATGGAGTCCTATACCCCCGAGTGACCAGGATGTCCTTTTCCCCTCTCACCTGTACTGTTTGCACAGTGTAGAGTTTCTTCAGATTCGAGGCACACTCGGCTGCTGTGGCACCAGGGAGTGACCTAACGCCAGCAAAACAACAGAGATGCAAACAAATCCAGTCAGTGATGAGAAGACATGCCCCAATATAACCGCATAGGTTTTCATCTCACACGTCTAAAGTCTCCAAACAGGACATCTGAAGATGCTGGCTAGAATTAAAACTTTGTCATTGTTGTTGTTGTGAAACCGTGTGTTTGCTTCTTCTCCTAATAGGATTTTTATTCTGTGAAAAAAAAAATTAAGAAAGGTACTGGACACTATAAACCACATAGTAAAAGGTATAAAAATATCCTATGACCATGAAGGCATTGTTCAGGACTTCAGATAAAAAGAAAAAACTGTCTGCTTTGCCAATGGCAATGAGAATGCATCCTCCTCTTCTGGGTGATAGATTTAAAACCCTATAACCCCCTGGCCATAAATACCCACACACCCCTGGGAAACAGAGGATTGTTCAGTTATTTTAGAGAATACTATGAACAATCAGTCTTGACCTCACCCCTGAATTTCTTGCCTAAAATCAAACCAAACTCTCAGTAGTTTCCCTTGAGCTCATGCAAGCAGCTCTTGTGAACTGTATGGCCATAATACATTAATCTCTAGTTTCTATATGTTCCACTAGATGGCAACACACTACAGGTTTACACTCTGGGAGAAAAATCATGCACCTAGACTGGCTTTCCAGTACAGTTCCTGGATTGGGGTGTGCCTATCTTTACGTAGTCAGACGTTCTGTTAGCACTACTGTTTCTCTTTCTTCCTGCTGATTTAGCAGTTTGTGCTCAAAGGCACTGGGATCCTTGTTAGCATCAGGGCCAAGACGCTACTTCAGCACACAGACAGTGTTCAAAAGCCCGTGTCTGGCTGTGGGTAAGGAATCAAGGGCTGCTAAAAGGGGAAATACTCTACTCATAATTGACATTATAGGATCTGGAATCTATAAAAGAACACCCTTCACCAGGCACTGACCCTAGTAATGACCCTAAGAGATACAGTCGCAGGGGTCGTCAACGTGGGACACTTTCCAGAGACTTGTTATGTACCATATCCTAGAGATGTAGAGAAAACCCACAGCAGCTCTAATGCAGAGGTGATGAGAAGGCAAAGACCCTGGGGACAGGGCTCCACTGTCCACATTCAGGACCACGAGGGACCAATGAAAACTTCAGAGCTGGGGGCAATGGCTCAGAGGGGAAGTGCTTGCCCTGTAAACAGAAGGACCAGAGTTCAGACCTTCAGCATCCATGTGAAAGCTAGTGGCGGTGACAGACATCTGTAACTCTAGTACTGGGAGAGCAGGGACAAGTGAATCCCAAGGGCTTGATGGTCAGTCATCTTGCTGAAATGGCAAACCCCAGGCTCAGTGAGAGATCACCCTATCTCAAAACATAAGGTAGAGAGCAACAGAGGAAGACATACATCAACCTCTGGCTTCACGTATGCGCATGTGGGCTTGCACAATGGTATCCATATAGATACATCACACACACACACAAATCAAAACATTAAAATGCATTTTTGAACATAGTTCCCTTGTCTAGAGGTCAGTAAGGAAGCAATTATGAATTAGTTTAGGGGAAAGATGTCTTATTACCCATGAGGCAGGTAAATTCTAATAATCAAGCCATGAGTGTATAATTATTTCCTAACTGCAAATTTTATGACTTTATTTTTTACAAAGTAAAACCACGAGCCCAGCTGTGGTGGTGCACACCTTTAATCCCAGCACTTGGGCGGCAGATGCAGGCAGATCTTTGTGAGTTCAAGGCCAGTCTGGTCTACAGAGTGAGTTACAGGACAACCAGGACTACACACAGAAACCCCATCTTGAAAAACTTAAGAAAAAGAAAGAAAAGAAAAGTAAAACTATTATCACAAAACATAATTGTCTTTTTGTATCAGGTGCCACCTAAGCTGACCTGAGTGAATGGTGACAATGAACACACAGGGACCAGCACACTGGTGAGAGCAGCAGTTGCCTGAACCTCAAAGCAACCCACCAGGCCACATGGATGGTCTGGACTGTGGTCACTACAGCATCTACTTGGACAAAGACAAATATGCTACATTAAGCAGGTTATTGCACCCACAGACTATAAAGACATTGGGGGAAAAAACTGAAAGAATATGAAAATCAACTGGCACTTAATCCAACTAGCTTTTCTTTCTTTGTGCAGCCTGGATGACTGCTCTCTCAAGTACATCCAGCAAATTTATTCCCAGATCCTACAAGCACGTTAGTCAGGACTCCTTCCACAGCTGCACTTAGGAAGCGAGCAGGTGAGAGCCTAAGGTAGGGAATGAATTCCGCAGCTTTTTACTCTGCAGAATAAAATTATATGTTTGAAATTCTCACTGGTTTTCAAAGCTACTCTTCAATTTAAAGTAGCTTAGAATATTATGTGAGTATTCACTTTGGACATCATCATGTCAAATTATACAAATCAAACATGCAGGTGGTAGCTACCATTTAACTTTTAAAAGTCACTGCTGGTCTCTGGGGCTCTTTTACAATCCTTGTTTCTAGTCTGGTCTCCTCCTGATACTCCCGGGGAAGAGACAATTATACAAGTCACTTAAGGTCTCTGTTTCTCTGTCCAAGTAGAAGATTCTGAGTTTCCAGAGCTCAGGAGAAGCATCTGAAAGGAGGCAATTAGGCTGTACTCACCAGTGGGAGACAGCAGAGTCGGCAGCCAATGTGAGGTGGCTCCGCTGCTGAGTGATACAGTCCTGCGGGGGCCCTATAGATTACAGTAGTGCTTGTGACCATTTTACGGTGAGCACTCTGGGGCTCAGGGAGGCATGGTATCCCAAGGATGTAAACATTTAACAAAACCAGGTGATGTGCTTCTGATGGCTGTTCCTCATCCCACATCATAGAGCTGCCAGGTCATGTCACAGCAATTACAAAACCTGGGTTTCACACAAGCCAAGCATGTGCTCTACAACTGAGCTGCACCCAGCTCCGCACTTCCTTTTCAGTGTATACACTGTGTGTGCATGGGTGTACCAGGGTATCTCCATTAATCACTCTCCACTGTAGTTTTGAAGGCAGGGTCTCTCACTAAACCTGGAGCTCGCCAACTGACTAGGCTGGCTGATCAGCAAGTGTCTGGGATCCTCCTGTGTCCAGTATGCTGCACTGAAATTGCAGATGTGGTTATCACACCTGGCTCTTTACATGAGGGCTGGGGACTGGCACCCAACTCCTCACGCCTGTATAGCAAGCACTAACTCTCTCACCCACACATGCATTTCTAAAAGAAAACAAAAAGGTACCTTTTTTTCTGTTTGCATGTGTGGTAAGTGTGTGTGCACGCATGTGCTACGCTCACCCATATGTGCATGCATGGAGGTCAGAAGTTGATGTCAGATGTCTTCCTCTATATTTCTCCGCTTCTGTTTATTTATTTTTCTGAAACAGGGTCCTTCACTGAACTTGGAGATTGCTGTTGGGGCTACATTAGTTGGTCAGTAAATCTCCAGAGTTCTCCTGTCTCAGTTCCCCAGTGCTGGTGGGGGGTTAGCGGCAGGGAGTTACAAGTGCACTGTGCCTGGCTTTCACACAGGTGTTGAGGATCTAAGATCAGATCCTCATGGTGCCCAGTAAGCGCTTTAGCCACTGAGCCAGCCCCTCGGCCCTATTCAGCGTCATTTCCTAAGGGATCTCGGTGTGTTCTCAACACGGCCATTATTTTTGCTTAATCTTAGTTTTAATTCAAAAGTATGTCTGTGTGAATTAGAAGACATGGTTTAAAACAGTTTTTCCAATGAAGCGGGGTAGGAAAGATCCTCATGACATTCAACAGAAACATCCATGGCCATAGCCATCCTCTGATAGGCTGACAGCTAGATACCAATGCATCAGGGCTAGGAGGAAATGTCAGGCTCCACAGGACTCAGTGCGGTAGTTAGAATGCAAACTATCCCTGTTTGAAGAAATGTACCTAACTGCTGGCATTCTTTGGGGGTGGGGTAAGGGGACCTTGAGGAAGTAGAGCTTTGCTGGATAGAAGTGCATTACTGGGGGTGGGCTTTGAAAGCTTATTGCCTTGTCCATCTTCCTGTTCTCTCTGTTCCCTGTGTGCAGATGAAATGGGACCAGACAGCTTTTTACTCCTGTGGCCCTGCAATGCCTTTCCCTGCTGTGATGGACTCTAGCTTCCCAGGAACCCTAAGCAAAAAATAAACCCCTTCTCTCCCAGGTTACACTTGATCATGGTGTTTGATCCCAGCAACTGTAAAGTAGACAGTCAGGTTCCCAGTTACTTCAGGAAGGAAGTTGTGGTTCTCATCTGATGGGTCTCATCTAGCTGCTGGGTGGTTTCATAAGGATCTGTCTGGCGTACTAATACAACAGCATTGTCAGGACTGCATTAGCTCGGTTGGTCAGTGCAGGTTTGCTGTTCTAGTCACCAGACTTGCTCCCAACAGTCACTAAAACAACTGCGGTGTCTCAACCTCACCCCTGAACCTCAGGCTTCCTTACCAAGCAAGATTGAGCCACAGTCACAAGTTCATTTTAGCAAGGCAAAGCAGCCAAGGTTTTCAAGTGACCCGCCTCATAGGCAGGTCAACGTGCACTGGATTTGCTGACTCAAGGTGCTCCATCTGCTGTCATCCTACTGGGACTGCTTTTCCCCTTCATTACTGAGGACTGAACCTCGGCAACTGGGTTACATCCTCATCACTGTTTTGTTTGTCCGTTTGCTTTTTGTAAAGATGCATTTTGACACAAGGTCTCACTATGTTGTCCAGGCTGACCTTAAACTTGAAATCCTTTTGCCTCGGCTTCCTGAGTAGTTGGGACTACCGGCTTGTGGCTGCTTCTCGAAAAGGCAATGCAGACTGAGTCAGGCTACGGCCACACAAACGACTGAAGGGCAAAGATGTATATTAGCTTTCAAATAAGACGTTCTTACCGAAACCAACCACATAGGCAACATCCGCCTTTATTATATCTTTTACCTTACCGATATCAAAGATCCCTTTCTCCATACAGAATACTATAATACTACTAATTGAAGCCCTCTGCCTGCAGACCAGGGTGTTCATCTGGAACAGCAGTGACCCAGATGATCAAAGGCAACACTGGGAGGCATTTTGTGTTGCTATAAATAAACAGGCGAACCTCCCAGAACGCACAAGACACAATGCCCCACAATCTAGAAGCTTCTGGTACAAAA